AGATATAGATATAGATATAGATATAGATATAGATATAGATATAGATATAATAGATATATAGAGACAGCGATAGAGATAGAGATAGAGATAGATAGATAGATGGATGGATGGATGGATGGATGGATGGATGGATGGATGGATGGATGGATGGATGGGTGATAGGTAAGTAGGTAGGTAGGTAGGTAGGTAGGTAGGTAGATAGATAGATAGATAAATAGATAGATAATATATAGATACATAGATACATAGATAGATAATAGATAGATAATAGATAGATAGATGGATGATAGGTAGGTAGGTAGGTAGGTAGGTAGGTAGGTAGGTAGATAATAAATAGATAGATAGATGGTAGGTAGGTAGGTAGGTGCCCGCTGGATCAGGGAGAGATCTGGGAGATTCGTAGTCTCTGTGGGTCAGAGGGGAGGGGAGGGAGACCCCTACCACTGAAGGTTGACTCCAACCATTGTGTGAAATCAGTCATCGGTGGTGGTTGCAACTGTTTGGATTGTGCTAGTCACTGTGTGACTCAGGGGTCTGTGAGCGCAATCGAGCTTTGATGGGCTTCTTCGTCCGTGTGCTGCTGTGCGTGCAGGACCCCCACCCACCCTTGGGATGACTCACGGGATGTTGCAAGGGAAACCCCACCCCCACCCCCCACTCGGTTCTGCTCCTAGGAGAATGGGGAGGAGGCCACGGACACGCTCAGGAATGGTTGGGATGAAAAGGGGGAGGCGGGGCTCAGCCTCCCCTCCCGCCCTGAGCAGAGAGGGGCTGCTCCCACCAGGGGGGGTGGGGAGAGAATCACACTTTGGGGTCCTTGGTGCTCTCTGAGCTGGTTGGGGATTTTTGTGTGTGCAAATGATTCTTTACCAAAGAAGAAGTTTCCTTCTTGGGTCATTAGACGGGAAACCACCCAGCGCAGAGAGCACCAAGGACCCCCCACCACCACACAGGCCTCCCCCTCCCCCTCCTCCCCCTTGCACACACCCCTCCCTTCTAGCACTGATGATGTTCCCTAGTTGGGTCATTAAATGTCCGCAAGGAAACCACCCAGCTCAGAGAGCATCAAGGACTTCACAGTCCCACCCTGAGCTACAAATATTTTCTTCTGTCTGTAAGAATCACCGCCCCCCTTCCCCCCCCCCAACTCAGTTCTACCCTCTGAAAAACTCTGCAGTTGCCACGAAGGGAGCCTTTTCTCCCCTTGGAAGGGTGACCACTGGGGAGGTGAGGAGGAGATCAACAGGAAAAGACCCCTCGCAAATGGCTGGGGAGGGAAGGGTGGGAGCTGTAGGGCTGTTTCTACTAAGTGCTACCTCTTTAAATTGGAGGGAAGAGGGTTTGAGAGGTGTGTGTGTGTGTGAAAGAGAGAGAGAGAGGGAAAGAAAGAGAGAGAAAGAAAAGGGGAGAAAGAGAGGGGGGAGGGAGGGAAAGGAGGGGGGAAAGAGGGAGGGAGAGAAGGTGGGAGGGGTAATGATGTAAGTGAGAGCTTTCCCAACTGATTGGCATCCTCCTTTGTGTTGCTCTGTGTAAATATTTGCCTTTTCAGATTGGATCTCACCTTCTGCCTTAATCCCTTTGTACAGAGGCTCAACAGCTCTCCAGCAAACAATTCCTCTCCCCCTCCCCTCCCCCCCCAGGCCAAAGTGTTCTTGTTGAGATAATCAGAAGAATGAAGCCATTCTGGAGCAGGAGACAAACCGGAATCCCCTTCCACAAGAATCCCCTTCCTATAGTTGGGCCAGGAAATGTCAGCCAGAAAACCACTAAGCTCAGAGAGCACCAGGGACTCCTGGTCACCAGGAGGAACCTGGTGGGCTCCAAGCCGACTTTCTGGACCCTTCAGTGGCTGAGAATGAGGAGGGGTCCGTAACTCTCCACCAGGGAGACCCACGGGGTGTGTATGTATGTATATATGCATATATGAGGGTATATGTGTATGTATATATGCATGTGTGTGTGTGTGTGTGTGTGTGTATATATGTGTGTGTGTGTGTGTGTGTGTGTGTTGTATTTGTGCTGATAAATAGCAAAGGCAACAGTAAAAATAATGGATTTCTGTCTGGATGGTCTCTTATGACGAGCCGATAGACAGAGAATGGAACATCCTCCCACATTTGAGCATACCAGGGGTTGTGACTCTAAATACATACATACATACATACATACATACATACATACACACACACACACAC